CATGCAGGCTTTAAGCAAGCTGTATTCATTGTCTTGTGCATCTAGACCAGTGGTCAGCAAACTCATTAGTCAACAGAGCCAAATATCAACAGTACAATTCTTTTGAGAGCCAAATTTTTTGAACTTAAATTATATAGGTAGGTACATTGTCATTAACTTAATTAGGTAGGGTACTCCTAATTTGGCCTTTGCTAAAAACTCAAGGGGCCAAAGACCCATATGTGGCTTGCAAGCCACAGTTTGCTGACCACTGGTCTAGAGTAACATACCTTTAGAATGTTAGTAGCAATCCTCTTTTGCAGACCCCTTTGAGACAGTAACCAGCCTCAATGGAGCAAATAATCTTGTTAACTATCTGTAATCCAGTTATAGGGTTTCCAGCCTGGCTTTCTCCCACCTTCATGCCATCTTCCTCAATTCTCTCCTTAATTCCAAATGTATGAAAAGAACCACAAAGCTGTAATCTCTGGAGCATTTGAGATCTTGCTTCCTGGTATGTCATCAATTTTGCTCAAATAAATACAAAAATTGGTTTTGCCCTGGTCAGTATGGCATAGTTGGTTGGAGTGTCACCAGGTTGTGGGCTCAATTCCCCTTCAGTCACATACCTAGGTTGTGTGTTTGGTCCCTGGTTGGGATATGTACAAGAGGCAAGCAATTGATGTGACTCTCTCACATTGGATATTTCTCTCTCTGTGTCTTTCTCTCTCCCGTCCTTCCTCTATGCCTGGCTGGCATGGCTCAGTGGTTAAGCATCAATCTATGAACTAGGAAGTCACAGTTCAATTCCTGGTCAGGGCACATGCCCAGGTTTTGGACTCTATCCACAGCATGCAGGAGGCAGCTAATCAATGATTCTTTCTCACCATTGATGTTTCTTTCTCTCTCTCTTCCTCTCTGAAATCAATAAAAATATATTAAAATAAACAAATGAAATAAAATGGGGTCCCTAGTGGTTTTCATTTCTCTCAAATGTCATCAGAAGTTTGCTTCTGTCTCAACATTGCCACCAAATCTGTTAAGAAAAACAAAATTCAGTTGAGTAAAATTGAACATCTACTTGGCTTTATTAAATAACTAGAGGCCTAATATATGAATTTGTGCCCAGGTGGGGTCCCTTGAGGTGGCCTATGGAGATTGGGCCCCAGCTCGCGCCCCCAGCCTCGCAGTCCCTCGATCCTACCTGACACCCCGCCTTGGCCTGGTGCTGCCCCCTCACCTATTCCACCATCCTACCTGCAGCATGACCCATCAGGGCCAGGCCCCACACCTGGCTCCTTCAGTGCCTGGGAGCTGGTCTGTGGCCTCGCTCCATGCCGCTGCAAGATAGGTGTCTTTAGGGTGATCGGGGGCCCCCACTCGGGCCCCCATCGGAGCCAGCAGCACCTCTACTGCTGCTCACTGTCAGCACCACATCACAGACGCTCGCCATGTTCTGCACTGCCTCCTGGTGGTCAGATCACGATATAGCGAGTGGTCAAACTCCCAGTAGGGGGTCAAACTCTTGGTCAAAAGGCCATCCAAGAGGACAATTTGAATATTAGCCTTTTATATATAGGATTATCTCTTTTTTCTTGTATCTCTACACTTAAGATATTATTTATTTTATAAAAATGTATGGATGCTAAATCTATTAGAGTGCAATATGTATTTTCTTCTCTTGCACATCGTTTCCAGTGAAGCAGCACATATAATGGCTGCAAAAATTCAGTTGTATGGATTTACTCTGTTTTAGTTCACCCTGCCTCCACTAATGGCTGTCTACATTTTATTTTCAATATTTTGGAGCTACACCCCATTTAAGCCACTGAACATGAAAGTTGTCTGAGAAAGTGAATATTCATGAAAATGTAGGGTTCCACAGAGCTCCCTATGATTCTATGAGACCTACCAGTTCTGGAGAGAACTCACTGTTGAGTACTGGTCAGGATGCTTCACACATTATTCCACTGGATTCTCCCAGCATCTCTGTTAGAATGATAGCATTCACCAATATAGATGGTAAGGTATAAAGGGAATCCATTGCCATCCTATATAATAAAGATGTAATATGCAAATTGTCGTTACATTGTGAAATGTTAACGTCCGACCATGTAAAGACCAAATCATGGATTAACAGGAGAGTGGAGCATCGAGCTACAAGCGGGTGGCAGAGAGCTACAGGAGGGGAAAGGGCAGCAAGCTATGAAGGGGGTGCGGGGGAGAGGGCAGGGGAGCTACAGGAGGGAGGAGCAGTGGGCAGAGAGCTACTGGAGGGCAGCAGTGAGCTACTGGCACATGGGTTCATGTGCAGGGCTACTAGTATTCATATAATAAATAAGGGGGAGAGGGAGGAAAGCGATATAAAGTAAGCGAAAATAAAGTCCAGAGATGAGTAGTCTATTGACATTACTGCTGAAGGACAAGAAGATATTGGATGAGTCTTAGGCTCCTGAACTGATCCTATCACTGGGACCCAATCATGTCAGTGGAGCCAGAGAGGGACAGAAAAGCAAAGAAGTTTCTGACTAATGTAGCTGTAGGCTGAGTGAGGGAAGGCAGAAGCCTAGTGCTGAAGTATTTTTGAGTTGACTCCTCTGCCATAACTTTTGTCCGGGGATTCAAATTTGCATCAAGGCATGAGGTTTGCTATTCACTCACATTCCTTCACGTTCACACAGACCATCTCAGTCAGAAAGAACCCCTGGACACGGTCTGTGCTGGCTGAAGAAAGGAACCTGCCTACTGAAAACCTCTCCCCAATTGTTAGCTGACACCTAAGCTAACTGAGCAGAGATTTCAGAGATCACACACAAAACAAACAAACAAAAAACAAAACAAAACAAAAAACAAACAGACATTCCACAATTAAATCGGGAAATACACTAAACAAACAAGCAAATGGACTACAACAACAAATCCTGAAGATAGAAGATAATCTGATTTCCAGAGTTAGCCAAAAATATATTTGGTTTCTTTTCTTTTTTTTTTTATAAAAATTTTTTTAAAAATATATTTGTATTGATTTTTCACAGAGAGGAAGAGAGAGGGATAGAGAGTTAGAAACATCGATGAGAGAGAGTCATCTACCAGCTGCCTCTTGCACACCCCCTACTGGGGATGTGCCCGCAACCAAGGTACATGCCCTTGACCGGAATCGAACCCGGGACCTTTCAGTCCGCAGACCGACGCTCTACCACTGAGCCAAACCGGTGCCGGCAATATATTTGGTTTCTTATCTGGCCTCTATTAACATCAAATGGAGTGAATATCTTTGTGTGGACATCAAGACTTTCTTCTGAAATTATTAAAAGAGTGGAATTTCTAAAGAATTAGTAAATTATACAGCTCAAAACTCAAAGAATACAAAGAGGCCCAGTGAAAAGTCTGCCTCCCACCCTGTCCCCAAACCTTCCAGTCCTACCAGGTAACTACAATCATAAAAACTTTACAGATATATTGGAATGTATGAACACACTTTTTTTTATATATGCTTTTTTATTTTATATATTTTTATTGATTTCAGAGAGGAAGGGAGAGGGAGATAGAGATAGAAACATCAATAATGAGAGAGAATCATTGATTGGTTGCCTCCTGCATGCTTCCCACTGTAACCCCGGGCATATGCCTTGACCAGAATTGAACCCAGGACCCTTCAGTCCACAGGCCAATGCTCTACTGAGCCAAACTGGCTAGGGCTATATATGCTTTTATTTATATTATTTTCTCCTTTTCTTTGACACAGTTAGTGGTATGCTATGCTGTTTTGCATCTTGCCTTTTTAACTTAATATAGTTTAGAAATCTTCCCATTACTGTGCGTTAAAAGTTTTCTCATTCATTTTTAAAACTGCTTAATATTTCATTTGATAGGTGTATCACAATTTAATCAGTCTCTTATTGATGGACATTTGTAATGTTTCCAATATTTTGCTCTTCAGGCAATGCTTCATTTAATAATTTTGTACATGTCATTTCACATATGTGCTATATATCTATTGGGGGAATTTCTAGAAGGGAGCTTGCTGAGGCTAAGGGGATTACATTCCCACCAGCAATGCAGGACAGCTCCTGTTTTCCGATAGCCTGGCCAGGCAGTTAGATCTGGAATCTTTGGCCATCGGATAGGTGAAAAGTTATTTATTATATTGCATTTATCTTGTGTGTGAGATTGAGCATCTTTTCAGAAGTTTAAGAGCTACTTCTGTTGTCTGTATGTGTGTGTGTGTGTGTGGGGGGGACGAGTGTTTTGTCAACATCCTTTGATGATATGCATTTCTCAAAATCATTCAAGTTGCAAATTCCTTCAAATGTTTTCTCATGGGAAACCCTTAGTCATAGATTTTTTGAGTCAGAGTTGGCACTTTTTTTCTTTTTGTGGAGTTTGCACTTTTCAAAAGTTATCTCTGTATGTTGCCATTCGACCTTCCAGAAGGGAGGCTTCATTGAGGGTCCCTCTACCACTCAGCCCTGGCCCTCTCCCTTTACCATCATTGCTGGGAGTCTCCAAATCCTCGTGGCCCCGCCCTCCAGGCTCCGCAGCACCGCCCTCCAGCCCGAGGCCCCGCCTTCCAGCCCGAGGCCCCGCCCTCCAGCCCGCGGCCCCGCCTTCCAGCCCGAGGCCCCGCCCTCCATCCTGCGGCCCCGCCCTCCAGCCCGAGGCCCCGCCCTCCAGCCCGTGACCCCGCCTTCCAGCCCGCGACCCCGCCCTCCAGCCCGAGGCCCCGCCCACCAGCCCGCGGCCCCGCCCTCCCGGCGTGCCTTGCGCATCTCCGGACGTGACTCCCGCGGCGCGGGCTGGGTCCGTTGTGATTGCGGTTCCGCGCTCGGTGCAGGGCGGGCGTGGCCGCTCTGGAGTGACTGCCTCCGGATGAAGCGCCCTGCGGCGTGGCGGCCGGGGCCTCGGGGAAAGCGCTGAGGAGGCCGGCGCCGACCCCAGCAGCTGCACTTGGCCGCCGGCCCACGACGCTTGGAGGCCGCCCCGTCGCTGGGCAGCCCGGTCCGGGCGCAGGAGGGCGGGCGATGGACCAGTACTGCATTCTTGGTCGCATCGGGGAGGGCGCCCACGGCATTGTGTTCAAGGCCAAGCACATAGAGGTGAGCTGGCCCGCGGCGGCTCCCGGGCTTCCCTCCTTGGGTCGCATTCCTCTCTCTCTGGGAGGGGTACCTGTGCTCCGAACCCAGGCGTGGGCCCTTGCGCCGGCCCCCCGGCTCCCTCCTCTCGCCGTGTGTGCTCATCACTTGAACCCCTTTAAGGGCTGGGGGTGCGGTGGAGGCGTCCAGACTGGCCAGCTGCATCCCACCAAGGTGCCCTAGGAGCGTGCTGTGAAGGCTCTGAACTGTCTGATTTCCCTCCAGGAGGGATGGGGGCACTTTCCATCTCCCGAGGGCCTCAGGCCTCTGCGTCTCACCCAGAGGGCGCGTTTCTCGCCCCCTAGCCAACCTTTCCCGGGGGCACGGGGTGGCAGTGTCTGCGTTCCGTCCTGCACAGACTGGAGAGATCGTTGCCCTCAAGAAGGTGGCCCTGCGGCGGCTGGAGGATGGCATCCCCAACCAGGCCCTGCGGGAGATCAAGGCCCTGCAGGAGATCGAGGACAATCAGTATGTGAGTGAGGCCGGTCCGGGGTCCGGGGTCCGGGCATCTCCTCCAGCCTCTACTCACTCCCACTCTGGAGGACCTACACCTTCTCTACTGGCTTATATGCTCCCCCCCCCCCCCCCCCCCAACTTCCTTTCTTATCCACGTATTCACTCTTAATTTACCAATTCATTCCTCACCCATTCACTTTCTTGTTCATCCAACCATTCATGAACTTTTGCCTTATTTCTCAAACCTGTTTAGTGATTTCTAGTAGCAATGATAACTGCCACCTGTTGAGCTCCTGTTATGTTCGCTGCTTGGCCTCCAGCGTCCTTCTGAGTTTTCTAGCTACTCTGCCAGGGAGGTTCCAGGATCTACCTCTCAGACCAGGGAGCAGGGCCAGCCACCTGCGTAGTATGGGGGCTCAGCTTGTCTGTGAAGGCTTTGGCCCAGGTCTGATTGAGGAGTCTGGATGTTTTAACTCTGGGGCCTTTTGTAGGCCCTACCCGGGGCTGGGCACTGGCAGCGGGGGGAAACTGCCCTCAGCGGGCTCTTGAGAAGTGAGGTGCAGGAAGGGAGACGGACAGAAGCTACAGGGCCCAGCGGTGTGGTTTGTGCTGCGACAGGACTGGGAGGGGCTGTGGGCACATAAAGAGAGACATCTTATATTCCAGCCTCATTCTCCCTTTCTCTCTCTCTTGTCCATGTCAGGAGTAGAGAATGTGCTCAGTTTTCTGGGAGTGACAAGGATGGGTCGACCTTGGATAAGCCATACTCTGATTTGTTCCTTAATCTCTGAAGCTATATATTGGGTGACAAAGGCATGCTCTAAGACTGTTTGTCATCCCGGGTTTATATGAAAACATTATGTGTGTATGTGAATGTGTGTCTGTATGCCGTATCTATTGTGAAGTCTGGGGGGATATACTCTGGGGTTGATTATAGTAGGTAGGATTTTCCTTTTGCTGTTTTTTAAAAAAAGTAATATTGGCCTTAGCTGGCTTGGCTCAGTGGATAGAGCATCAGCCTGCAGACTGAAAGGTCCCAGGTTCGATTCCAGTCAAGGGCACATGCCTGGGTTGTGGGATCGATCCCCAGTAGGGGGCTTGCAGCTCTCATCATTGATGTTTCTCTACTCTCTCTTTCTCTCTCCCTTCTTCTCTGATATTAATAAAAATATATTAAAAAATTTTTTAAGTAATTTTGTGTATCATCTGAATTTGTATGTGTGTGTTTCACTCTGTACTAGTAAAATGATATGTACTCGCCTCAAAATCAGAAAAATAGCAGTAAGGCCACTCTCGTTTTTTGAGGAGAGTAACAGGGCTTGCTGACAGCAATGGTGTGGCCGCCTGGAGGCTGGTGACGAGGCCCTGCATCCTGTGATCAGCAGGCCTGAGATTCTGTCTTTGAAACACTCTAGATTTCACCCTGCCCAGGCCACTGTCACCTTTCACCAGAACAACCACAGCAGCCTTCCCGCTGCCGCCCTGCCCCACAGCCAGAAACACGGAGATGAATGTGTCCATTCCCACTGGCTTGTCTTCACAGGGAAAGGGCACCATCTGCGCCCACCCCCTCCAGCCTCTCTTTCCCTTCATTCAACACAGCTTGTAAGTGTCCCTCCCATCTAGGCTTTGGGGCAGAAGAGAACAAAGGGCCTTCTCACTTGTACATGTCCCTCCCTCCAGCCTCCTCTCTGTTCTTGCCTCTTGGTTTTGTGCTTGCTGTCTGCTGCCCAGAGCTCCTGTCCAGCTCCTTGAAAACCAACCCTCCCCATTCTTTCTCCTCTGTCCTCATTAGAACTATTTGTCAGTAGTCTGTTCCCCTGTGCTGTGCAGCCCAACCCCTGTGGCCTGTGGGCCCTTAGTACATATGACGTGTCTCCAGCTGTCACAGTTCTGAGGAGCAGTGATCGCCTTTTCTTGGTGCTGGGATTTAATGGCCCTAGAGGAAACTGGAGGAGACTTGAATTCCTGTGTGTGTGTGTGTGTGTGTCTGCATGTTTGGGTGAGTGTTAATTTTTCAGTTTGTGGGCTGTGTGGGGGAACCAGACATAGCCCTAAGTGGCCTTCCACCTCCTTTTCCCTGAGTGTGAGTGGAGTGTTGGAGTGGGGGCCTGTTCTCCCAGGAGACAGGAACAACAAGAGGGCACCCAGCTCCTTGGTCTCAGTTCAGATCTTAGGTCACCTCCTCTGTCTGCCCTGTCCTCTGCTGTGGGTTCCAGAGGGAGTCTGAGCCATATGAGTCTGGGGCTGACAGGATGCCCTGCCTGCAGGTGGTGCAGCTGAAGGCCGTATTCCCGCATGGGGCAGGCTTTGTGCTGGCCTTCGAGTTCATGCTGTCAGACCTGGCTGAGGTGGTGCGCCACACCCAGAGGCCGCTCGCCCAGGCACAGGTGAAGAGTTACCTGCAGATGCTGCTTAAGGGTGTCTCCTTCTGCCACGCCAACAACATCGTGCATCGGGTCAGTCCCAGTGCTGGTGGGGCTGGGCCTGAGGGCCGTGCACTGGGTCAGTCCCAGTGGGGGCCGGGCTGGGCCTGAGGGCCGTGCACTGGGTCAGTCCCAGCAGGGGCCGGGCTGGGCCTGAGGGCCGTGCACCGGGTCAGTCCCAGCAGGGGCCGGGCTGGGCCTGAGGGCCGTGCACCGGGTCAGTCCCAGCAGGGGCCGGGCTGGGCCTGAGGGCCGTGCACCGGGTCAGTCCCAGCGGGGGCCGGGGTGGGCCTGAGGGCTGGTTGGATTGGGCTGGACTAGCCCTTGGAGAAGATAAGGCCAGAGAGGGAGAGAGAGGAGGTGGGCCTGTGGGTGAGCACTCTGGGTGTGTCCTGCAGCAGGTGGGGACTTGGGCTGACCCAGGCGCTCAGCCTGCCAAGCCACCAAGGTCCTCCTGGGGCACTGGAAGAACGGATGCTTCCTTTGGTGCTCTCAGGACCTGAAACCAGCCAACCTACTCATCAGCGCCTCAGGCCAGCTCAAGATAGCGGACTTCGGCCTGGCCCGGGTCTTTTCCCCAGATGGCAGCCGCCTCTATACGCACCAGGTGGCCACCAGGTAGGGAGGGCTGGCTCCCAGGCAGGACCTAGCAGTGCTCCCCCTGGGAAAAGATGCTTCCGGCCTCTCTGGACTTGGCTAGTGAGGCTGGTATGGGGGCCGGGGTGACCTGGGGCAGCCTCCTGTCAGGCTGGTGACTTGGCTGTGACCACTTACCCTTCTCTTGCAGATGGTACCGAGCCCCCGAGCTCCTGTATGGTGCCCGCCAGTATGACCAAGGGGTCGACCTGTGGTGAGACTGTGGGCTGGGCAAGGGGGGAATGTGGGTCGAGGAGTCACCTTTTCCTCTCTAAGCGGCTTAGGGGTGTTTTCCTGCTGTGAGCTCCAGGCTGCCCTAGGCTATCTCCCCCGGTTTGGGTGTCTCTGAGGCGTTTGGATCAGTGTTCCTCTTCAGGACATTTTGGAGCTGGATGGGGGCTGGATGGGATCGGAGTGGTTGTCCCAGTGGGAAGTTTCCTGAGGTGTGGCGCCTCTGGCTACTGTGCAGGGAACTAGAGTCCAGGCTGCGAGGCCTGGGTCCCGGGGGAGTAAGGCTCTGAGCCTTCGCTGGAGACAGAGTGGCGTGCATATGCCTGAGGGTGAGGTGTGGCTGTGGAGGTCGGCCGGGAATGTGAGGGGGTGGCTGTGTCCCAGAGTGGGGAGCTCTGGGAAGCTGGGAACTGCCGAGGGGTTATTGCTGTCCATTGGAGGCGGAGACATGCTTGGAGGGGGGTTATGCTCTGGTTAGGCAGGAGCTCTTTGATTGCTGAGAGCCTCCTAGGCTACGTTGCGCATTCGTGGAGAGGCAGTGCTGGTGTGAGGAGACGTGTGTCCGCGGTGGGAGTGATGGAGCTGTGTTTAAGGTGTGAGACCATGGAGCTGGAGTGCGGAGACCGGTGCCCGTGCTGTGAGTCTGTGAGCTGTTTGGCTTCTGTATCTGCAGGGCCGTGGGCTGCATTCTGGGGGAGCTGTTGAACGGGTCCCCGCTTTTCCCAGGGGAGAACGACATCGAACAGCTCTGCTGTGTCCTTCGCATCTTGGGCACCCCTAGCCCTCAAATCTGGCCGGTTTGCAGGGGCCCTCAGGGGGGAAGAGAGGGGGAGGTGCCCTTCATTCCCCCCAGTAACCGGTGACTCCCCTCTCCTGTACTTTCTCTCTTTGGCCCCATGCTGCCCTAAAGTCCCAGACCATGTCCAGGCCCAGCGTGGGGGCTCTCCCTCCCTGCTGCCCACTGCCCCATCCTGCCTGCCCCTGGCACCTGCAGCTCTCTCCCAGCTGGGGGGGGAGGAAGTTCTGGAAAGGGTGGAGGCCCGAGGGACAAGTTCTGAGGACTGAGGACTGAGTGAGCGTGTGAAGACATGAGCGATGGGGCGAGAGTGGGGGGCACGGATGAGGCAGCAGCAGTAGCCTGAGCAGGTGGGCGACAGGGAGCGAGGACTGACCGAGGGAGCTGGTGGGCAGTGCTGTTCCTGAGCGCCCGTTCTCCTAGGAGATCACGGAGCTGCCCGACTACAACAAGATCTCTTTTGAGGAGCAGGCGCCGGTGCCCCTAGGGGAGGTGCTGCCGGACGCCTCTCCCCAGGCCTTGGACCTGCTGGGGCAGTTCCTCCTCTACCCTCCACGCCAGCGCCTTGCAGCCTCTCAGGTAGGGCGACCATGGCCCTGACCTCCTCACCCAGGCTCATGTGACTCAGGAGGTCAAGGTCCTTAGAACGTGTGATGGGGGCTCGGAGCCACCTGCCTCTCTTGAGCAGACCCAGAGGGGCTGCGGGCCGGACAGGGTGGCCCATTGGAAGGGTGTGCCCACCTCACAGAAGACAGCACCTCCGGTTACTGGGGACTCGCTTCCTCATGCCTTCATTCCTTCAGCAAGTATTGACGCAGCACAGGCATATTCCAGGCCCTGTCCTGGGCCTCGGTCCAGAGCGGACCCCTGTGGTGAGGCAGGGCACCCAGGCAGTGGGTTAAAACACGGGAGGTGTTTTCTCATGAGAGATGATGAGGCCCGGTGAGGAGCACCGGGCAGGACGGGTTGTGGCAAGGAGGCAGGGAAGGCCGCGGGGGGGCGGGGGGCGTGGGGGGTGCACAGTATGGGCCAATGGTGTCAGAGTCTCTGTGGCTTGTACCACTCCCCTCCCCACCTTGGCACTAGCAGTGTGTGTTCATGCATGCGCCTGCTGAGTACCATGTCACCAGTGCCTGCAGAGCATCCCGAGACCAACTTAGCGCTTCTCAGCCCCAGTCTAAGTCCCTCCCCATTGTTCCCAGAATCTCCTCCTGCCCATTCAGTGTCTCCTCCCACCCGGCAGAGGGCGTGACCCTGTGCTGACAGCCAGCCTTCCCTCTGCAGGGCCCTCCTATGTAGTCCCTCAGGGGAGAGCCCAGGCCCTGCTGGCCCACAGGAGTCACGGGCTGGCGGCTGTTACCTCTGTGACTGCCTGTGACTCGCCCCCAAGGCCCACTCAGGGCCTTCCAGTGTCGGTGACCTCCACGTGGACCGGTCCCTCGCTCTGGCACCAGGGCTCCCTCTGTGTCCTAGGGTCTGTGCACTTCCGTCCCCGGGCCTCACATACTCCTCTCTCGTCTTTGTTCAAGTGCCACCTCGCAGGGCCTCATCCACCGCTGCAGGCCTGCACCTCGTCAGCACTAGACATTTGACACACTGACTCTCTTCTCTGTGGTGGGGCAGGGACAGGGAAGGTTTGGTTTCTATAAGCTGTTCCTTCTTGTCACCCCCAGGCCCTCCTGCACCAATACTTCTTTACAGCTCCCCTGCCTGCCCACCCTTCGGAGCTGCCAATTCCCCAGCGCCCGGGGGGACTGGCCCCAAAGGCCCACCCAGGGCCTTCCAACGTCCATGACTTCCATGTGGACCGGCCCCTCGAGGAGTTGCTGTTGAACCCAGAACTGATTCGGCCCTTCATCCCGGAGAGTTGAGATGCTGGACCAGCCCCACTGGCCTGTGTTCCAGAGCCTCTTGTCCTTCGGTTCCAGTCTCACTCAACTCACAGCCACACTACAGCCACACTGGGCTCACTCCTTACTGGTCCTGTCCCGGCCAGGCAATGAGGATGTCCAGCCCCAGCAGAGACGGATGCCCGAGGCTGACATACCGTCAGAAAGGGGCAGTGTGCCCACTACCATGCTGGCCATGGTGCTGCTGCTCCAGGCCCTGCCTTTCTGGCCTGGTGAGCACCGAGTAAGATGTCTTCAATTCAGAAACCCAAGGGGGAAGGGAGGTTTGGTTTGCTTTTCTTTTCAAGGATGTTAAACACGACTTCAGTTTTGAGATTTATTATAAAAACCCCAAGGAGTTCTGCCTGGTGTCTGCCTTTCTTCCGTTCCTGTCAAGGGAAGTGGCCGAGGTGGCATCCTCCCTGGTCTTCGCTCCTCTGTGGTGGCGGGGAAAGTGACCCCATTCACGGCTGCTCTAACTTTGGGGGCTTCTTAGGGGCTTTACACGACCGATCTTCCATTTGGAGGTGACCTGGCAGAAGTCCAGGCCCAAATATGGCTCAGGTTGTGAACCAAACACCTTAATCTGGTTTACAGACAATCTCCACTTTTGGAGAAGGATGAGCCAGAATCATTTGTGCCATCTTCTTCCTTAGAGAAGAAGGAGACAGGCATTCCTGAAACTCATTTGTTAATTCAATAAATCACAATACAATTCCATCTGGCTCTTATTCTTCTTATTTAATAATTTGGTAAGACAGTTGTAAAATATATGGAAATGTAAGTGTTGGAAGGAAGTAGAAATAAGAATAATGAAAGGGCTTATCTATTAGATACCACGACTTGTCAGAGGGCTGTAATAATTGAGACAGTGGTGTTGGTTCAAGGATAGTTAAAAACAGGCAGATTGGAGGAATTTATTCTTAGTAATCTTTTATTCTTAAAACTAGAGGCCCAGTGCATGAAAACCCATGCACTGGAGGTTGAGGGTGGTCCCTCAGCCTAACCTGCCCCTCTCACGGTCCAGGAGCCCTCAGGGGATGTCCTACTGATGCTTAGGCCCACTCCCCACAGCCTGGTCACTGTGCCCTGCTGGCCTACTCACCCCTCGCTGCCCCCCTGCCAACCTGGTTGCCCCATGCAGCCTGCTGTTCAGTTGTTTGGTTGTTGGAAGCTGCCCTTTGTCTTCACTAGCAGAGAGGTGTGGACATGGAGCCCGGAATGCTGGTGACCCTTGAGCCTAGGCAAAGGTCAGAGCTATGCACCAAATGGTAACTGAAGCAATTTTCTGATCAGATAGTCTTGTAAATCCTTACTGATAAGATAGTCTGTTGCTGGAATTGCCTGCCTAAGGGCTATAGGTGTATCCCAAATTGAATAAAAGATGGCAAGGCCTGAGCACAAGTAGAGTCCTTCCTGTTGCATTGGGCTCCTGCCTGGTTCCCCCAATTTCCAAATTATTATTTCTTGTCTAGTTTCTGTCACTTGCATACGGCCCTTCTCGAGAGCCCGAATCCTGAACCAAGTGGGACGTGGGTCATCACACCCTCTGCTGGCCTGGTCGCCCAATGCAGCCTGCTGTTCTGTCGTTTCTGTGAGGGCATCCTGACCAATTTGCAGATTAGTATAGATATTCATTCTGTGTCCCATGTGAATAAACTTCTGTAAGCACTGAGGACAGAGGTGACTAACCCTGCCACCTCTGCTTTTAGAGGGAATGTAAAACACAAACTCATTGTTGCTTTCTGGAGGGGAAAATGACCATCTCATATGTCTTTAAAGATGTTTTCAGGATCTGGCCTCTGCCTGTTTTCTCCAGCCACATCTGTGTCAGAATGTCTAGCTCAATTTCTGTTAACTCACCTCCATATAAATGGGGACTTTTATCCATACCCCTGACCATTGACCCTCAAGCAGCCCCACTCACATAAGACCCTAAACCTTAACCCACCCTGACCTTGACCTTAACTCTGAACTCTGTCCTGACCCTTATTCATCACCCTGACTGACATATACACTCACCTTCACCCAATTGTCAGACCCTTACCTAAACCTGACCTTGAACTTGGCATTGACTGTGACCCTCACCATAACTCTGACCCCACTTGTCATAGAACTTAACCTTTTTCATGAACTTCCCCATCACTCTCACAATAACACTGACCCTCTCTAATTGGCATTCATACTTTGATGCTCATCATGACCCTGATCCTGATGCTTAACATGGCTGTCATACTTATCCCGACCTTGACTTACCTTTGACAATGACTGTTACACTGGTCATGACTCAACACTATCATGAATGATACTCTTACTACACTTAATCTGATTGTGACTCAACTTCACTCTATCTCAACCCCTAGACTGAATTCTCATCTTAACAAGGACCATCATAGTCATCCACTCAAACCATAGAGCCTGACCTTGAACCACTCACACCATAGAGCCTGACCTTGAACTAGTCTGCACTTCAAACGCCCCTGATCCTACATTGACATTAACCCAAACCTCAATTTCACCCTGACCTTGATCCTCATCCTAACACTGACCTTAGAGCAGAACCTGGACTCACACTTGGCTGTGAACTTGCCGTGAAATCAAACTTGACCATCATTATGATGACCATCATCTTCAGCGTGGTCAATGACCATGTCTTGACCCATCCTTGACCTTAAACCTGACAATAACTGGTAGGTGGAATAATGCTCATCCCTCAAAGATGCCATGTTCTAACCTATGAAAATGTTGCCTTATGTAGCAAAAGGGCTTTGCAGATGTGATTAAGCATACAGACCTTGACAAGGGAAGAATATCTTAGATTATCCAGGTGGGTATATACACAAGAGAGAAGTGAAGGTAGGGGGTCTGAACTCGAGCAGCAATAAAAAACAAACCCCACATTGACTTAATTGACCTTGACAATGAACATCATGCTCCCCCTGAACTGACTATCCTAACCTTGATCTGGACCCATAACCTGACACTGATCCTATCCTGAATATCAGCCTCACCTGAATCCTGAACCCTACACAGAATTGGACATTCACTGTCAACCCAAGCACAACTCTTAATCTTACCTCACCCTGACAATAACCCCATGACCTCCACCAATCCTCTAATGGACACTCTCACCAATCCTCTAATGGACACTCAACCTGACCCTGGTCCTGACCTTGTTCATGATCTTGAACTTAAACACCCTGGCTCTAAAATTTCCCTTACACTGATATGGACTATGAACCTGATTCTGACACCTCTTTCTCATCCAGACCCTTAACCTGATACAGAATTTTACCCTGAACTAGACACTTGCCCTCACTCTGATTCTGACCCTTATTACTCTGTCCCTCATCTTACATTCATCCTATGATTCTGACCTGCTCTGACCTTGAACTTGGTCATGACCTTCACCCTTACATTAACTGATCTGATGTGGCCAGGGCCAGGATCAAGTCTCGAGTGAAGTTCAAGGTTAGGGCCCAAGGCAAGGGTGAAGACCAGGTTAGGGACCATGATAAGGAAGGCATGAGGTTTAGTTAGGGCTAGGGTCTGGGCAAGCCCCAGCGCCAACGTTAAGAGAGAGGCTGAGGGTCATTGTGAAAGTAAGGGTCAGGGCCAGGATGAAGTTCAGGGTGAGGGTGTCAGGATTAGGGTTAGGTGAAGGAACGAGGGGCTAATAAGGACTAGGGTGATGAGAGGGCAAAGTTGAGGAAGAGGGTCAGGATTGGGGCACATGGCAGGACCAGGGCCAGAGTGAAGGCCAGGTATGAACCAGGTGAGAGGGCCACGCCAAAGGTTAGGTTTAGCGGGGCGGGGTGAGGTGGAGGTGGAGGACTGGACACTTACTGGGAAGGGGTGAGACCACGGTGCAGGGCCAGCACACAGCGAGGGGTCCAGAGGTGCGGGTTCGGGGCCACTGTGAGGTCCAGGGAAGGTGAGGGGAGGTGGATGTTACTAGAAGGGGATCGGCGAGGGTCTGTGAGTGTCAGGATGAGGGTCAGGGCAAAGGCAACGCCAGGTGACGTCAGAGGCAGTTCCACGGCCAGGGAGCGGCATCCGTGCGGCCGCAGCGCAGCGGGAGGAGCCGCGAGGAGCGGCGGACCGGTCCCGGATTGGCTTAGTGAGGCGCATGCGCGGCTAGCAGGGCGGGTTCTCAGAGGCGGGCCGGGCGGAGATTGGCCCACGGGGCGGAAGCGCGGGAAGCGGGGCGGGCCCAAGACTGCGGAAGCGATGGGGCCGCAGCTGGGCGTACACGAGCTACTGCACGTCTTCTCCTTCCTGGAGGCCCGAGACCTGCTCCGTGCCGCCCAGGTGGACAAGGTAGCGCATCCGGGCTGGGGACGTGGCCCCTGAGTGCCCAAGGCGGCCCTTCTCGGTCCCGTTTCCCCGTCCGGGGTGGGGCTTTCGGCGACTGGAATCTGTGACCGGCAGAGGGCGCCCTGGGCCCGTAAGGTGGCTGCTGCCGCGGCCGCTGGAAAAGTCGCTCGGAAAGGCCCCCTCCCTGCCTACCGACCACCCGCGCGCTTGCATCTGGATTGCTCCAGAGATTAGTTTGGGGAGCGGTTTTCTGTCTGGAATTTTCCTCACTGGCTCAGCCTGAAAAGCCACCCCCCTAGCCCCTCCTCTAGGGGGCGACCTCTTCCTGTTTTTCTGCAGCCTGGCTGTGCTAAGTTCCCATTGAGTGCATAGTCTCGCCTGGGCTTCATCCCTGGTGATGCCTGCACTCAACTCTTCCTTCCTGGGACTCGGCACAGCTAGAAGCGCTTGTTTGCAGGGTGTATTTGGTAACTGCTCACCCCGTTACTCATTCCTAAGAACAGGGGTTTTGTCTTTTACGTCACAGACTCTTGGCGGCGGTGGTGAGACTGCACCTGGATTTGGCAACCTCGGTGCTTGAGTTCGGGCTAGGAAAGAATTCACAGCCAAGACTCAAACTAAAGAGAAAATTTACTTAGAAAATCACAGAGGTAGAGTAATTAGTAGGTAGAGGCAAAGAAAGGGCCCTTGAAGCTTTGAAGTGAGGATGGTAAAGTGACACCTGGGGGCCTGGGAAAGGGGAAGAAAGGCTCAAACGTGCTCCCTGGAGGGAGCGTCCTCCTTCAGGTTTTAAGCGGGGAGGTGTTAGGGGAGATTCCAGGGGAATAACTCAGGGGAATAGTCAGCAGCTTTTCATGTCCGTCCTTTCAGGGTCAGGATCTGCACTGATTGATTGGCTGGCACCAGGGTTGGTGATCAGTATGCAATGCAGCTGGTCCCGAGGTCAGCCCTGCTGTTGCTTATCTGGTTTTGTTGCTTTTCTGGGCCTGGAGCTGAAAT